ATGTGCCGAACGAATGTCCGGCATGCGGAGGGACCCCACATGACTCGAAGCATCTCTTCGCATGCCCGGCAAACCCGACAACCCTAACGGCCTTGTCCTTATGGGCAAACCCCGCAGAAGCTGCACGCTTCCTAGGGTTGCCGTTAGTGGAACTTGACGACAACGACTGAGATACCAACCGATCTGNAGCCAATATGAATTATAGAGCGAAAATCACTGTACACATTTCCAAGTTTTAAATGCAGATTTATTTAAAAAAAAAAGTGCGGTATTTAAGTGCTAAGTTTTAATACTTCTGCTGCCNTAGATTTATTTAAAAAAAAAAAGTGCGGTATTTAAGTGCTAAGTTTTAATACTTCTGCTGCCTATAAACTTTTTTCAGACAATAAAAAACCTACAATTTCAAACTGAATTCGAATCCCATGCATGTTTACACATACTGCGATCAACTTTCAACTGAAGCATGCAAAAAAAACATGAGCGTACTTACCTGTAGGTACACTTAATAAGCCAAAAAATCAACGAAAAAAGTGCCAACTCCTTGATTTAGGTGCAAAAAATGAAAATGTAAGCATTGCTTTTGGAATTTGTTTGGGTTTCAAATGGAGCGCTTAACAGGCTGAATATGAGTTTGATTCACACAGTGCAAGCAATGGAAAAAAACTGAAAATTTTAAAAGAAAAAAAGAAAGAAAATAAAAACTTAGTAAATGTTTTGTCTATTTCAAGTCGAAATGCTACACCTGCTCTTCCTGCATTTTCCTCTTCTGCTCGGCTTACTCATCTGCATATGGCTTATAGCTAATAATCTGATGCGCAAGTATATTTAGTATCTCACGTGCTGCAACATCTTGATGCTCGTGTATGATGCCCGTGATGCGCGCGCATTCTTTGATATAATTTTCTAATTCACGCATATTCAGCGGCTTGTGTGCATCCTTCGCAGTTATGGATTGCACACATTTGCTAGTCATTTGCGCGAGTTGTGTGCGTGCTGCGCTGAATACATCATCCAAATCGTAAAGTTCGAGTGGCGGCGCAGGCGGTTCGCTGAAGATTGGCGGAAATGTCTATGCAGAAGAAGCAGACAATGAGCTTGAATATAAATTTGTTTAATTTTTTGTTTCACTTACGGCAAGTTGCAACGGCGGTAACGGTATCTCAAATTGTGGTTTAATTATTTTTAATGGCTCATACTTAACATTTAATTGCTCATAAGTTTCCATTACATCCTTCAGCAGGCGATTACTCAGCGAGTAGAGGGTCATGTCGAACATTTGCTTAAAATCTGCTGGTGTTTGTGTGCCACCAATTGAGTCAACAAGACACGCTTTTGGGCGATTAGCTATGAATGCGATGTCAGTGAAAGTCTTGTTGTCGTTTATCTGTAAACGAACAGCAATTTATATGAGAATAAATATAATTACACTATAATCTCACCTCCACATCATTAAAATCCAAATGCGTATACTGTATCTCATTGCCGCCCAAAAGTTGTACAAAATATTCCAGAAGTGCGTCGTTCGTCTTATCGTTTGACAAATATTTGTCATGCCACATGTAGCCCGAACCAATAGCCAATATCTTGCCGCCACGCTCATTGGTGTAGTAGCCAGCCAAGGGTCTAAGAAATTGAAGCGTTAGCACTTCATGGTAGTGCGTTTTACCTTTAAAGTCACTCACCTATTGAAGGGATAAACGACAGGACCCGTGCTGAGCAATATGTTCGCTGGCTCAGAAACATTTAAAGTTGCGCCATATGGATATTGAAAATGTATTTTATGCTTCTCATCGCTAAAATCAAAATCAACAATTTCCACATCTTGCTTGATCAGATGGCGCCACATGGACTCACAAACTACGCCGCCGCCGATAATGCACTCCTTCGGATGAAAGTTCTTGTAGTAGTGCGGCCGAACAACAGTATCTGGAGAGATGAAAAAGTAAAAAGCATTAATTGCATTATAGGATTTTGACACAGCACGTAAAGCTGCATAATCGACAGCTAAATGCCAGATCATTTACTTCTGTGTTCATATGGAAAAGTAGCTTATGTCGAAAGGCTGGCTTTAGNTGCTGTGTAAAGCTGCATAATCGACAACTAAATGCCAGATCATTTACTTTATCTTCACCCTTCCTGCTTCACTTACCATTATTAATGTAAATGCCGTATTGTTCCAAAAAGAAATTAACATTTGTATTGTATTCCTGTTCGCCACCTTCGCCGAGCATCACCCACAGCCGACCACCCTTTTCCACAAATTCTTTCAGCACCTGAAATTCTTCTTCGGTAAAGCGANTATCTTCACCCTTCCTGCCTCACTTACCATTATTAATGTAAATGCCGTATTGTTCCAAAAAGAAATTAACATTTGTATTGTATTCCTGTTCGCCACCTTCGCCGAGCATCACCCACAGCCGACCACCCTTTTCCACAAATTCTTTCAGCACCTGAAATTCTTCTTCGGTAAAGCGATCTTGTGGTCCGGCCAACACAAAAATAGTAACACGTTGTAGCTTTTCCTTCTTCAACTCCACATCGTTTCTGTTAATAAGTTTTTATGCTTTTACCAACATTCGCCTTTGTTAATTCCCACACTACTTACTGCTCAACTTTCCAATGAATTTTCAGTTTGCGGTGCAGCATTTTATAGTTATCCGACAATTGAAAACGTTCATTTTTGGATATATCAAAGCAAATAACGCCTTTCGACATCTTATAGGTATTTTTATGATGCTAACAAATTCTTTATGCCCGAAAATTATGCGATAACTTGTGAAAGCGTAATTTTCGCTTACCGGCTATTGTGGCGCACTTCCGTTTCCTAGCAACCAGATAGATTAGGTGATGCCAGATCTTATTATTAAGTTATTTCTTTAAATATTTTCATTGCTATGGCAGCATGGGCTTGTAACGAGTAAATGTAGTTTTGAATCTTGCGTATTTTTTCCCCTGATGCTCTCAAATTACAATTTGGTCCCTAACAGTGGCAGAGAACATTTAACAACGAGAAGGTGCAAACGACTCAGTGGAAATNTGTATTTTTTCCCCTGATGCACAGTAGTGCATTTTCGATAAATCAGTAAATATTGAAGCTAATTTATTCAAAATTGATGATTGCAACAATTCTTTACCAAGAAATACGTTTATGACAAAATTTTGGAAAATGGGCGTAGCACCGCCCACTTGTGATCACATATATGTATCTCGCTAACCGTTCTAGCAATTTGTACCAAGCTCGGTATGGTTATTGTGCTTGCCACATAAAAGCAAACCGTTGAAAATTGTTGAAATCGGACTAAAATNAAATAATGATGCTATGTGAAGAATTTCTTGCAGAATTTTTTCAAAATTTTCTCTATTTTTCCTACAGAAATGTCTTTACGAGTTCGTGTCGACCACTTTATATACATTTCTTTGAAGATTCGTAAAAAAATCATTACAGAAATGAGATACCTACTGCTAAAGATTTCGTTAANATGTGTTTTGCCAGCAACATCTGGCAATATGTGTGTTTAAAGAAATTGCACGCTTATAAAAAACCGAAAACCTGCCAAATCTTCTTTTTAAAATGGTCTTTCTTCATGTTTAAACTTTTTTTATATGATTATATTAATAAATGACTAAAAATAGAAATAAATGTAATGCCTTGTACAAAGTTGATATTCTGGTGATTTTT